CTATTATGATGAGGATTATTAATAGTAGTATTATTATTACCATTATTATAATATGTTATAGTTATATGTGTGGCCCTTGCCCCAGAGCCCCGATCCGGGAAAGAACATGGTGGATATCCCAAAGTGTCTGCAGCCTCTTCTGTTTCAGTTCACGAGGAGATGGGCACGGTCGCTCCACGTATGTGTGGCTACACCGTGCGGAGTGAGAACAAAGTACAGGGCTACATTATGTCCCCTACCTACCCCGGGGCCTACCCGGACAACCAGTACTGTTTCTACAAATTGCAAGGGAAACCGGGAGAACGGATAAGATTAACCTTCGAAGACTTTTCTCTCTTTTATGGGGGCGAATAGTAAGTCAGATTCCTGGCACCATTTTCTATGATTTTTTTTATTCCACTACTACTACTACTACTTCTAGCCATTAACCTCCTAATCCATCGTGGTGATTTTCGTTGCGTTTTGGTTGTATGGGTTACCAATTTTCCTCCCAAATATATTCAGCTTTCTGATTTAACTCACTAATTCTTTGATTGGTTTTTGGTTTTTCAGTTCCTCGCTTCCTATGTCATTTAACACACTTAACACCCGATTGTTTGAACCTGAACCTTCCTAACACTCACTAACAACACCGCCCCCGTGTGGTTATGGGTCTATACTCCCAATGCAATGCGCATTGTGCATCGTCAAACCACGAAAATGTTTTGTCTCCCGAAATTACAGTTCACAATCAGATTCTATCTCTCTGCAACGCGCTGTGTAGAAGAAAGAAACGGAACAAAAAACATCAACACAAATAGGCGTTGTGGAATTGACGGCGAATATTGGACTCCATACTCGTAGTTGTGGTAAATCGAGACAGCGTTGTCATGTACGTACAGCTTGATCCGACTTCAGATAGGCGGACACTTCCATTTTCTGAGAGGGGAGAGAGATCAATAACTGTAAGATTGCGGTGTCATTAACGATCCTTCAGTCCTAGTGGGTATCTCTAACGTCGTGATGAATGGGTTCCGCCATTCCAGACTCCGATCTCGAGCGATGACTCAGCAAATTGAAACTCGTTATAAAAAAAAGAAAATTTCTTTATGAAAGTGTAAAAAAAGGTAGTATAAAGGTAAGTTTGTATTGAGTGTAATGCTGGTTTGATTATAACTTCATTTCGTTTCTTCCAGTTTCTTTTTTTTTTCCTTACGTACCTCGATGTAAGATATTAATTTCACTTCAGCACTCAGTTTGAACCAGCATTACAGCTCTCTTCCCTGGAAGTAGCATTGCGCATGGTCTGTCATTCGGTCTGTCTCTTTATGTTTCTATGTTCAGTGTTGTACTAGTTCAGTTCACGCCTTTGAGTCGTAAGTTGGATATTTTGTATGTAATATTCAGCTGGATAAGAACTAAGGAGTAACCGATTTATTCTTGCCTAGGATGTGGCTTAGAATTTGATGTAGAAAAGCCGATATATGTCATGCGCCACAGTACGGCAATTACCGTTTGATGTTAAGATTGAATTATCAGTATGGTCATGTCTATGTGTATAGTTGGTTATACTTGTGGTTATGACAAATTGCTATGTGTGTCGAAGTACTTTGTCAAAGGACAACGAATTAGCATGCATTTCCTTTGAGATGCAACTTAGTATGCGAACCTGAAAAATATTATACTACCGATGTCAACTTGACAAATTTTAAAAAAAGATTGAGACATTCTGAGAAAGTTTAAAAAGAAAGTTGAAGGGAAGTTGCTTATCATGAAGCGTAATGCAAGACTTGTTTTTTGTTAAATTAATATGGCTGTGCTTTGAATGGCATAAAGATAATACCATTGCCAATGAACAATAATTGTAGAACCCATAGTTAGTTCAGAAATCCCATTGCCAAGACAGATGTAGCTGACTCCTACTTTGTGCATTATATGAAGACCTGTCGCTGCATCAAAACTTTCAATCAAACAACAACTATCTCTTTGCCATAGACGGTTTCATTGCCTGAACAGAGACTGCATTAACTCTTAGGTCTTAGATAAGAAAGCAAAGCAGGTTTGGTATTGATAGAGTTAACTTCGCAGTCTTGGATGATTCTGTTTCCTACGTTGTGCATTTTCATCGCTCAAGTCTGACCCTGTCTGTTCATTATCTATCCTGTCTCCTGGCACAAGAGGACTACGCCAGACTGCAGGCGACACTTTTGCATGTGAGAAAGTAAGGGCGGGGGAGGGGGAGAGGAGGGGGAGGAGGAGGAAGAGGAGGAGGAGGAGGTTGTTATCAGTAGATATCCAAGTTATGTAGACTCAACCAGTATGCTGCCTGTGTGTCAGGATTGCAGTCATCGTTACTTTGTTCCTAATTTGTTCAGCTAATTCATCAGAATCAGGTCTTCGCCGCTCTGTGTAGAAGCACCAAACTGGGTAAATCTAAGAACAAAATATATGGGATTTATAGCCTCCCAAACCCGTAGAACATTTCTATTTGATTGTTAAAGTGAAACTATACACCAGTGGTGCTTGTTCTAATGAAAGATGTATCCAAACACAAATTATTAAGATGCAAAGTCATTTAAGGAAGATATTCTTTGAGAACTTCAAGTTTCACTGGGACCATAGTTAGTTGCCAAAAGACCATAAGACTGCTCCAATAACGTGTCATACACTTAATTATTGTATTACCAGCAAGGTTGCTCTAGAACAATTTGAACAAGTATTCTTTGTCGTAAATAAACCTACGTTGTTGTTTGAATGGAGCCTGCAATGTTGATGGCTTGTTGTGTGTGTGTTTGACGATCGTTTTAACGTTTTCACTTTTTTCCAGGCAAAAAAAAGTTTTAGAGCCTCAAAATGGGAAGGGGGTTAGAGGATGGGGAGAGTATTTAACATTACACGACATAAAAATGAAGGCGAAATGTTTATTTTCCGGGAAGCCGAAAATGTTTCTGAGCACTCTAGGGTCAGCTGGGATAAGAATAGGTGTGAAGAGCATACAGCCTGCTGTAGTGTGAGGATATGCGCTGTTTAAACGCAATCATTATCGTCATTATTAAATGTATCCCTGGGAGACATAAGCTTGTTACAGAAATATTCAAAATGTTAATAGAATATTAGACCAACATAATCAAGAAGAGTCCGTTAAAAGCAAGATCGAGTTCTATTCTTGTTATTCGTTTTTTTTATCAATCTTTCCTGAACCCGACACTTATCTTTGTTCGTTACGAAGAGTTTGGCAATGATTGAGATGTTTCATTGATCTCTCTATCCATTACGGTCGACTGAGACCCTCTGTTGTCTTCGTCTCTCGCATCATTCTCCATTTTGCACGCTGCATCACCCGCACGCTCAGCCCAGACAGACAGACAGACAGACAGACAGACAGACAGACAGACAGACAGAGAGACAGACAGACAGACAGACAGACAGACAGACAGACAGACAGACAGACAGACAGACA